AGAAAAGGACAGGAGAAAAACAGTGCTGGGGGGGGAGGGGGGGGGGGGGGGGGGCGGAATTGAAGAGAAAAAAAAAAACAAACCAGCATTCAGTAGTGCTGCCACAAGTACTACATTTTACTATGAATTTATTTCTCCGGGTTGTGTGTGCAGGTTCACCTAACCCAGGCTGGTTTTGTCAAGTAAACAGTGGCTGGCCCCTCCCTTTTACGAAGGTTTAGCATCCCCCAGGATGGACCTATGTTCAAAATTTGAGTCATCATCCCCACAGTGTTAACAAAGAGAATGATAATTTGACAGTGAGGACTAAGAAAGAAAAAGCATTTTAAAGAATGGTGGTGAACATCACAATTTCAAACTCTATATTTTATGGGTTCCATTTTTAATAAATGGACATAAGTTGCAGGAAACTGAGAACTACATACTATTTCTTTCAAAAACTGAAGATGTCTAGCATTTCACAAATAGACCCCAAACAAACTCGGAGACTTAAAACCAAAACATTTTCACTCTAGCCCAATTCTACTGTCAAAAGTAAATTGAAAGGTTACCCAATTATAAATAATGGCATTTTTTGGCTGTACAGTAACACAAATGCCTCTCTCCTACTTCCAACTTTTCATGTAAATTCCAGTAAAAGCTCCATGTGTCAAGAATTATTTTTCAGTAAACAAAAATTAAGAATCATAAACTGTTACCATTTCACCAGTACTTTTTTTAAATACTTACTTCCTTTTCTCATGAACATTGCAAAATATTATTTGAACACATGGAACATTACATTGCTTCCGGATACTTGTGGGCTTAGCTCCTTCACAAAGCTACACACATCTTTCAGGATACTCAATCCTACAATGTTTACACTGGCAGCTTAATCTGTCGCTAATGCAAACTCAAAATCAAATGATTTATCTTAAGAGAATAAACAATGAGCATGGAAAGCTGGGAGCTGTTGCTGGCTTTGGGTTCTATACCATTAAATTCTGCATGAAAAGCTCTTTATTTTTTATGGAGACAAAAGGTCTCAAGTATTACACTGTTATCCAATGTCATAGCAGAAGATCCCATAATAAAACATAATGGAACTAGAAATGCGTCAGTAGACTTTAAATACATTTTTTTCTTTTAAAAAAATAAATTATTTTTATACAGAAGGAGCAACAGTACATGCAGCAGAAACAGAAGAGCTCCAATAAAATCTCATTTTCACAAAGATTAAGTACTGTGGTGAAACATTGGTTTCAGCTGATGACTAGCACCCATAGACCTTACACAGCCAACAGCACCAAGTCAAAACATAGAATTATCCCATGGAGTCAAATTGAAAGAGTATTACAACAGCAAGGCTGACCTATGGCAAGTATTTCTAGCTAAAAGAAAGATTATGCCGCAGAGTTGGCCTATCTACAACAGAGACCTGCAGCAGCACAGCAATATTAGCAGACAGGCATCAACAGCTACACAAACCTTCAAGTCAGTCAAGGCCCTCTAAGTCAACCATAAGGTTGATTTCTAACACTGTTTTTGAAAAACAAACAAAAATTTTAAAATTAAATTTGTACAGCATCTACAGCATGAAGAAGATTATGCTCAACATTTAAGCAATTCATTAAATTAAGGATTAAAGGCATTTCAGAAGGAAAAGTTTATGAAATCCAGAACGAAATCCATTCAGTTTACATATTCCCATTAAGAAGTCAGTGATGTTCTACAAGAAAACTTAAATCTTGCTTTCAGCTTGATACAGAATCACAGGAGGGAAAAAAAGAAAAAAAAGAAAAATGTTTGGAAGGTATCCCTGGAAATCATCGAGTCCAAACACTTGTTGAACACAGAGCCAGTTTTTAAGTTCAATCAGGGCTCAGGGCCTTGCCAAAGCAAGTTTTGAAAGTCTTGAAGGATAGAGACTCCACAACCTCTGGGCAACCAGTTCCAGGGCTCGAAAGCCACTCTCATGATGAAGAATTTTCTCTTACGAAATTCACTTGATGCTATCTGTGACGTTGCCTCTTCCCCTTTTGCTGTGCATGTCTGAAAAGAGTCTGGCCCTCCCTTTAGGTTGCAAGAGCCTGCAGATTCCTCCTTAGCCTTCTCTTCTCCATGCTAACCACCACCCCAATCCAGTCACACAAGTAGTGACTAGATGGGTCCCTCTTCACGCTGGCTACGCGCTTGCTAACGCAGCCCTGGCTGCAGTTTGCTGCTGTTACCGTGAGGGTAGGGTACTGACAGCTCAGCTTGCTGCTCACCGGCACTCCCCGGTACTTTTGCTGCAGAGCCGCTACCCAGCCAGCCTGCCTGCACCGACGGGCAGCCACCTTGTCCCAGGTGCAAGATGCTCCATTCGTCTTTGTTGTTGTGCTGCTCCTTGTCACGAGGCTTCTGTTCTTCAACTCCTCCAGCTTGTTTATTAGTTGCCAGAAATAGACTGTCTTTAATAACATATATTGTCCTCAACAAATTTATTTCTTTGCTGTGTTGCTACAGGGCTCCCAATTTAGTGTGAATTTACAGTATTTCAAAGTTAAAGGAAAAATATATTTGAAAAGCTGAATATTAGAGTCAAATTGGCACATCTTGTCAATCTACCCGTAATTCTATGGCTATCTAAAATAGAGCAAAAAGTTAATTTTAAATTATATTGCGTATCAGTATATATGCGTATCATATAATATAGTCTCACACATGTGAGAATACTCCGAAGGCTTAAACTAAGTAAAATGTATAAAGGCCTGGTAAGCTGCCAGGTCCATCTAAAGCATTAGAAGTTGGCATGTTTATATACAACGTATATACATGCCATAATAAAACTGCTGCTCACTCAGGAGCAGCAGAGTTAAAGCTACTTCTTAAATGTTGCAACCTATTGACAATATAAAAACTGACCTCAGAAGTCAACAGAATTTGCATGATGTCACACAGATGTGCCAAAAGAGTTCTGTTGACAAGATAATGACATGGGATTTTCTCAAAAATATGTGTATTTTTGCATTACATATTATTTATACTATATTTGAAATTTGCTTTCTTGGGCCATAACCAGGCTATACATTCTAGTAATAACATCTAAGGAAACAAAAAGCAACAAGTTAAATATTTTTTAAAAAATTAATCTGGGACAAAACCAAGTGGCAAAATATGATTTCTCCTTCTCCCTGCCCCCTACCTGGTTAGAAACCTTATCTGGTTAGAAACCCAGTCTAAACTCAAGCAGACCAACTGGTTTTACCACGCTCTCTCCCTTCCTCAATCAATTTTAGACAACATCTACACATTGCAAGACTCTTAAAAGCCTAAACTACAGTTTCCTGGTCTTTGAAACTGAGATTGTGTTTCTATTTAAAAGATGTCTGACCTTTTAGGCTCTTGATCAAATGCAAATCCCACTAAGTTAAATGGAAGCTGAAGATAGACAGTAACATACGTCAGGATTTCTTCATTTAGTAAGACTCCTAAATCTGTACTTAGTCTAACTTTAGACACTCCAGTTTTGGTCCAACATATCTGATCAGCATCTGTTAGGAGGCTGGTAAAAATTAATCTGAATTTCCCTAGAGAACCACCATGTTTCCCAGTGCCTGTACCCAGAGTTAGCATTTTCCTGGAATCCCACAAGCAGTCTGAAACAACCCGAGATTCAGCACTAAGATCCGTTTCAGTCTGTATCTGCCTGCTGTTGCAATAAGCATACTTTAGATCAGCAAAGAGGTAATCTTCTCTAATTAATTAATTTGACCTCCTGCGTGGATTCTTCAGATATACAGGAATAAGGAATGAAATACTCTCCCGAAATTCAACAGCCAAAACTCTCAAAAACGGCAAC